AACTTGTGGCCCATCGTTTTCCCTGTTTCCATGCACATTGTACGTGTATATTGTCCTTGGCTCTAGGCATCAGAGAATATCTACTTACTGTTCACAACCACAACAACTACCTTTTAATAACACATCAAGCAATGCTCAAAATACATTGTACATGTACATACATGTAAGTGCATGAGCCAGGCTAAAACAAATTCGGTTCATGCACTTGAAGTATCTGGCACATTACTAGAACATGACATGATAACCAGCGGCGGATCCAGCGATCTCTACAGGGGGTTCCAGTATAGTCAAAAACTGAATACAATCATGTAGCTGATACATGTACATGGACACGCATATGGTTGCCAGTAGTACATTTACGACATTTAGGGGGTTCCGCCCCTGATAACTCACTCCACTATAGTCGAAATAACTTTAGTTTGGTTCAATGTCATAGCGTGGACGTACCTTTCCCTTGCATGCCACAGATCACCGAGGCTAGAATCAGCAACATGCCCAGTTTGCACAATGTCCATAGCAACGGCCCCTTCATTGCGCAGACTTTCAAGATAATAATCAGTGTCTACAACTAATCAAACACACTAGGGTCGCTCAAGCTGGTTTCCGAGCAGAACGTAACTCGTTGGAGGCCTACCACACTTCAAAATGGCCTCACTACTCCCAGCCTGGACTCGCATTGAAGAAGTAAGTTGGAAATCGCTCGCACACCTCATTTTAGTCCCGATAGGCTGTGATGTCATTGGACCAGTGGAACGTCCCCCTATGTATTTTTCACTCTTTGCACGAGGTGCGGCATTTATGGCCACAGATTGGCCCTTTCCAATACCAATAATTTGTAAGATTGTTTCTGTTTCTTTAGGGCCTTTCATCGTAGCATTGCCTACTGACATCCTGTGCATAACTCGGCACCTCGGGTGTGCAAGGATTTAGGTGAAGGAAATTTTTTCACGGTTCGCGTGAGACTCGGCTGGAAGCCGGGTTTTCCGCATCCGTAGGAACGCCACCACCCTTCAAGGATCAAGGCGTAGATGGTGAAGGAAACAATGTGACAAAGACAGACTGAGACATTGCAGGGTAGGTGCTATTGTCTCTCAAGCACGGCACCATAGACTTTTAAAAGACACTATTATTATGCAAGCCCTGCTTGATAGTTTAACCTATTAATTTTGACTCTACCAACTGGTTTATGGTAACAGTCAGGAACACCGTTCTCAACGCTGTGTGTTCTCCGCAGGTGTGTGAAAATGGAGCTGCTGGATGTCGTCCTTATCATATCAAGCGCAGTGCTAGAAATAGAAGTGAGTTAGAACACAGGAAGTCACGTGTTGCGACTTCTTCTCCTTACCACGCATGTAGTACCTCGTCTCATAATAATAATAAATTAATAATTACTATGCTGGATCCAGGTTTAGACAAGGGTATATACTATATAAGCCCCATGGGGGGGGGGGGTACACTGTAATATACTCTTGATTTAGAGAATAGCCTAGAGACGTCTTTGGTAACCCCCGTTGTCGACCTGCATCTTTATCACGGCATGAAGGAGTGCTAGTACTGTGTTGATCACAACATCTAGTAAGTAAATTCTTATGAAATCATGTTCTGTACCATCGCTTTTATGTTGTGCTCATCTCATTTAGGGCCGACGCGAAAAGGCGATCATCTACTCCAGGGCTGCTGCGGGAAATCCGATCGCGTGAGTCTAGTTTGCACCCTGCACCAGCACACATCCCAGTGTTCGCAGGTCTAGGGCTGCACAGCGCCCGGCATGCCAGTGACTGACTTGACCGGATTTCATTGCTGAATGCTGAGCAGCACTTGCAGAAATCAGGGCGCCGTACACGGTACATCACAAGCCAGGCCAGGGCTCCCCTCCCTGGTACATTCCCTTCTCCGCGTTTGAAATAAGCTTGATATCTACTGATAACCAGTACATGTTATATTGTACTTGTATGTCCATCACGGTACAGGTACACCTGTAACTAAAGACCACCGTGACTAGCGACCAGCCTGGTACTACAGTAAAACCTGGTACTTCAGACCACTTCAACAGGCACGGACGATCGTGAAAACCTCTAGCTAAGGACCACCTGCCACTAAAGACCGCTTTCTCTTGCCCCAAGGGGTGGTCGCTAGTCACAGGTTTTACTGTAGTTTGTTGTGACAACAGTGGCGATCACAGTTTACATGTACAACATGTACGTAGCTACATCTTCATGACTGGTGACCTTTGAAAATAATTCTTTCTGTCAGACAGGGCGTAAATTAAAGTCAGTATGATTCTTGTATGTAGATCGAGCGATAAATCCAATGCAACGCAGGTCAAGGAGATTGTACTGGGCTAACAGATCAAGGCAGCAGCACACTGCATACGGGAAACTAGGAGAGGCTACAGAGAACAGTACAATACAGATAATGGTACAAAAAATAACTGTGTTTTAGATTGAAACATTGTCGTGCGGGTCGTCTTCCTCAGCGCTCGCACCGTCTTCAGGAGACTCTCTGCCCCAGTGCTCGGGAGATTCCAGCCGATACGGCGAGTGTTTCTCCAGCCAGGCTTCTCGTCGGCCAGACTTCCTGCTCCAGTAACGGAGCATGTACGCGAGCAGGTAGTGAAGCGGAGGCACAACAGTCACCACAACGAACACAATAAGAACTATGAGCATCCAGGTTTCACCGCGCTCCACATCGCCACTTCTGCGCAGTGTTCTGGGATAGGTGTAGATGAGACGTTTCACTTCGGGGTCGCTGTTGGAGAGCAGACGGCACTGTGGCTGTTGCGCATCCACCCACCGACGATCACCTGCGAGCACAAACGCGACGAATGACACAACGAAGAATTCACTGCATAACGTGCTGTACAGCAATGCTTTGCCCTCAGTTCTTCACTCATGCTTAACCTATGCCATTCGTGTGTGCCATGCATTAAACGTTAATGCAACATACATGCACATGTACATGCACAACACCGTACACGCTTGGGTTCACTTGCAGTGCTCATACACAGCACCCCAATAATACAGTCATCTCAGGCTTCCCTCCAAGTCTATGCCACTAGCAACGTACTACTTTTGCTGTGGAGGATTACCAATGATGATGACTAGAGCAACCACACCACCACCACCACCAACAACAACAACAGCGATGACGACGACGACGACGACAACAACAACAACAACAACAACAACAACAACAACAACAACAACAACAACAACAACAACAACAACAACAACAACAACAACAACAACAACAACAACAACAACAACAACAACAACAACAACAACAACAACAATAGCAACAACAACTACAGCTGCCTCTTGTATCACCGTGACGAGTGTATAACACGCAGTCTGTTAGCCGCCAGATGAGTATTCAAGCATCCATATGCCAATCTCAACATTATAGAAGAATTTTACTTTGAAGTACATGTAGTTGGTAGTTGGTATTGTTCGGACTGTGCATAGTTTAATAACATGTAACATCATAGGCTGTTGTATTATGAACAGTACATCTTGACTTCACCCATTCCTTCTCCTGGATACCTTTCACATGCAGGAATTTGAATGCAGCATTCAAGTAAACCGTACGTCTGCAAAATCAGTCAAGTCATGGAGTCACTAGAGGTGTTTGGGCATTTAGCCTTTAGGTCAGCAGCAGGTGCACAGCTTGGTGCACAGCTTGGTGCACAGCTAGGTGCACAGGCTGAGGGTGAAATACAGACCAGTGGCGCATCAGATATCCCAGCACAACGGGAGAAGCCCCTGAAAGTCTCCCATCCACTTACTGTCCGTTACCAAGACTACATAATCATGTATGATAATTATGTACTCGAGTTCCGTGCAGAGAAAGGATGAAGCTATGTTGCAGGAAAAAGGTTTCACGTTATTCATGACCATCAGCCAACCATGTGCTCGTGCGACTACCGGTCAATCCGCCTGGCCTAATTTGAATGAATAATTTCTCTTTTTAAGTTTTTACCAGTGAGACCATTGTTGTAAGGTGTAGGGCCTGTAGGCCTCTTTCTTTTTTAAACAGAGCCAAAAATTAGTGTGGCTTAGCCACCCTGATCATCGTCTATCAGGCGCGTGCCCCGTATGGGTTCCTGGGTGCCCGGAACCCCCATTTTTCGCTCAAAATGCAGGATTTTGCTTAATTTTTTGAAAATTTTCCCCAGGGAGGCCCCCGGAACCCCCCTTGAAAGGCACCGGCGCACGCGCCTGGTCCGACTCTTTCATTATCATTTTCGACCCGGGGATGTGGTAGTACAGGTATTTTATTTAATATCATTATTCACGTACATGTACCAGGGCCGAAAGTACTGTCAGCCTACCGACTGAAAAAACACATCAACTACCGTGCTCTCATTACCATAGAAACTTGCGGATAGGATGACGAACAACACGAACGCCAGCTGGTTGAAGCGGATGACCATCACAGATTTCGCCACACGTCAATCCAGACTATCACCGCCTCGACGTAGACCTACTACTCACAACTGATACTTCCAGTTCGACTGTGTGGAATTAATCTGCTGATTAGCGCGATAGGAAGCGATGGACGCCGTCTGCTAGTAATGGTAGACCTACCGCAGACACTGGGAGCGGCTGGACGACAACACATCATTATTTGTGCACGACAGACAGCCAACAGAATGCAACGCTACCACTAAATTTACAAGCCAAGGCACATGCACTGGAGAAAAAGAATAGTTTCATTGATGTGTTCATGGACATGACTGAAGTCTGACTGAACACAAGTCACTGTATCTGCGAGCCACAAGACTGACAAGAGAACTGTGCGAGAGGTGTGAAAATATCGCCAGGGTAAGTGGATATTACTAGCCTGCCCGAGCCATAGTGCCATGTTTAAACTTTAGCCTAGGTGAAGACGCAACTACAAAGCAACTATTTGTAACACTGCAATATTTCTAGCACCACAACTCACAAGGACATGTATCAGAATCATAGACGGGTTAGTCCTTATCCTCACATGATTACAGCCTTGCACGGTCAGCGTTGGCTCGATGATTATCAGTTCTAGTACATGTAACACCTTTTCAAGCCGCTGGTCAACCCGGACCGGGCAGCGGATGTAGCAAACGTCTTTGCCGGTGGGTAGGGGCTAGACTCAGAAGAGTTTTGTTTTCTAAAGTACCTGTACTTTTAGCACAGGGACCCGGAGCGTATCGAGTTGGCCTCTTCTTCCCATGCCCGCCATGGTCCATATCATGAGCTCAAATGACGGAAATGGGTCTCGAGCCGTCGAGGGTATTGAATGAAGTGAACTTCTTCAGTTTCACAGAGACCTGGCAGCTGTCAACCAACGGGGCGCGCTGCAAAAGCACGTGCATAGAGTCTACGCGTATACGGAACAGGACGCGATGTCGATCTGGTCCATGATCAGTAAGTGACAAGGATGTGTTACTTTTCCGCCCATCTACGCACTATACTACACTTGCAGACCCTTCGAACTCTGCATCTGATCTGCCAGTTTAGATCCGCGAGATCGTGCGTCTTTCACTCGGGGTTTGCAAATCAGGGACAAGGTCGGCCACCCTCGCAAGCTGGCTGGGCAAAATCCTCGTAAACATCTTGTAGACCAACACTGGCAGCAGTGCCCAGTATAGTAGATGACATGCAGGATACAGAAAACATCAGGTTGTCGACTTCTGTTTTGACTTCCTTTGGAGCGGACAAGGGAAGCAGCAACAACGTCGATCTACGCACGTCGACTGCCTGTACTTGCTATGTCGCTTGGAAGGTATGTTTGCCCAAGTCTGAGGCCCTATAACAACATTACCTTGAGCCTTTTGAGGGAGTCAGCTTTGCCGAGGCGTCCACTTCTCTAACATACGGTGAAGCCGTTCAAATAATTGTTTGATCAGCTTGTTGAGCGTGGAGGACCACATGCTGATATCTTCTACATACCGGTACAGTCAGTGGCGCTGTGAATGGTTTGGAATGTGCGCACAACATCTGGCACTGATTAGAGCGACGTGCTCAGTATAGTACTTTAGTGCCGGAGCGTTGAGGGTGAGCCAGACAGCTCCACTGCCGTATCGGCCATCGCTACGATCCGAGGGAAGGGGTCACCGACCTTGGCTTGGAGTGGTCGACTTGACTTGAGTGGTGAACGCTGCTCCGCCACATGCATGCGTTGGCTCTGTGCTCTCGAAGTTAGTTCTGTCCGCGGTCTCTGCCTAGTCGGCGCTGCTGCTATATCCGTGATGTTGGCCCATGCGGCGTGCAGTCCGGTTTGCGGCACGGAAGACCAGTATAATGTGGCATGTCAACAAGACCAAGACAGCGCTGGACGGCCGAGGCGGAGGAGGTGTCGGGGACAGTGGTGGTGGTACATGTACCTGGGAGAGAAGAGAGCCATGTTGTTGATAATGGTGATATCCTGTATGCACTGGTGGAGTTCAACAGACACTGGAGATGGTGACAGAGCGGCGGCCACACTAGGTACGTAGATCTACCGGTATTATGGCAACACATTAGAGAGTAGCAGTGGTGAGGCTTCCTGCAGCTTCATTCATAGGAAAAAAAGGTTTCAGAGCAGACTCGTTCTCTTCCCATTCACCATTCACTCTGCAAACTCGAACTCATTTCTCAATCAATTTTTTTACGTTTCGGCAAAATTGCCCTCATCAGGTATGCCAATGGTTGGAGAGGTTCCGCATAACGTAATTACGTCAATAAAAAACGAGGTCGATCTACGCAAAATCTGACGTACACTACATGCGGATCTGTGTTCCGCCGTACATATTTTTCGAATCACGCAGCTGCCCTTGCCAACTCGGAATGCGGCAGTGTACGACCGGGTCGACCTGGGGAGAGAATCATAAATTTGTACCCCAATCCACTTACGGAGCACCTACGTTATCACAGCCCTATCTACGTACTCTACGTGGACAACTTTCCGTAAGTGGAGTGCAAACTCTCGGATTCACGGGTTTTTCCCGCCCACTAACGAAAAGTTGCTCGATGTTGCGTAGTGCGGAACCTCTCTATTATAGAGATAAAGCGATAACACCATCAGTTGAGAGCCTTGAAGAGCCCGGCACAGCTTTGCACTATGTAGCGATGTAGGTCAAGCGAAACTGCCGACTCACACTGTCTACTTAGCGCCCATAAGTGGTTCCGCCGACTCACTCTGTATGTTAAGCACACATAAGTGGTTCCACCGACTCACCCTGAAGTCGGGACCTCTCGGTTCGGCTGAGCTTAATGAGTCCCACCGCCACACACCACTATTCACTTCAGTGTCTGGAGATACGTGGGTTTTGTAGAAAAAAAGAGAGAACAAACCCTGTATACTTAGCGCTCATAAGCGTTTTCGCTAGTTCACCACCATGACATCATATGCACAACCTCTGCACAGTCTGCGTGCGAGTGCGTATGCTGGCTACTAAGGAATAATAGTAATGATACGTGCCAGAACGATACCGCCGTGTGGGGCATGCTTCAGAATGTACGCATTCGCGGGCAGGCTATGCAGCATGTATTCCATGCTACAGACAAGGGTGTTGAACTTCTGTAGCACTGCTCAGTCAGGTTCGATCGAGTCACTCAAGTACACCCGGATGTCTCTTACCCGGGCACCATACTGGCCAACCCTCCCGTTTTTCCCGGGAAAATCCCGGAAAATCAACACTCCTCCCGGGGTCCCGGGGATTTCAAGCAAACTCCCGGAAAAACCAAAAGTTTTGTCTGATACAGGATTTTCCTGAAAACTCCCTGGTTTCTCCCCGAATGTCCCGGTTTTTGAACTTTTTTCAAAGGTATGTACGGTGCTCATTCGCACTTCGAACTGTGCACAGCACTTTGAAGACCTGACCATGCAAGATCTGCACTGACAAGTGACAGGCGGGCGCCGACTGATCAAACTGCACTACAGCCTAGTACAGGGTCGATCTGTGCTGTACGCACAGCTGCAGAGTCGAACCTTTTTTTGGCGGGAAAAGCTCTTTTTCACTTGTTTTTGTGTCTCCAGGGATTTTGAGAGAAATCCAGGGATTCTGCATGTCTTGTGAAGGGATTCAGATTGTGGTGGTTGGTCAGTATGGGGCACCTTGGGACCGGGTACTGCTCGTATCTCAGATTTGCCCGTATCTCAGGAAAACTCATCTACCATGTACCACATCATTTTTTGAAGAAGTGTATTTGGCATGTATTGTACATGTTCAGGTTACAGAAAGAATCTATTGATAAAAATGTGTGGATTTCAAAGGTCGGCAGTGACAAAGAAGCACTTGCACATATGAAAAAAGTTCAAACCCCCCAAATTCAACATAATTTTGCCATAGGAACTCAAGGTGAAGGTACCCGCCCGGTAGAGAGACGTGCCCGTATCTGAGGCGTCCGGATAAGAGGCGTTTGAGTGTACACGCCTGGGCGTTGCGCAGCCCTAGACCTGTGAACAATGGGCTGCGAAATGGTGCAAGGCACAAGCCTGACCAACACGATCGGATTCCATTGAGCAGCAATGTAGCTGCAGTAATGCATGCAGGGAATAAGAGGAGCCAAATGAGTGTTGGTTGGGGATGTAGTAACGCGGCCTTAGCTTCAGTTCACGTCGCTCGCTCCTATCCCCAAATGTTTATCCATCCAGTAGCTTCGCATCAAACAATCGCTCTCAGCGCAAGCACTAAGCTGCGTGCCCAGTATCACAAAATGCAGCCCTCACACGCGGGCCCGTGGTTAGCTGTTCCCGTAACATCGCCATTGCCTTGTGCAATACATGTTGCATTGCAATGCCAATATGACACGTCTGGCTGCAATGTGCACCATATACACATGTATTGTAAAGCTCAAAGAATAATAAGACCAGGCGCGTGCGCCGGTACCCTTCAAGGGGGGGGGGGGGCCTTGTTATGGAACTTGTCACGCAGGCATGCACGCCAACTCGATCAACAGGCAGTACGAAAGTAATTAGTTGTTTTTCAGGGAAGAACATTTCAGAGAGAGAGAGAGAGAAAACAAGTTGAGAGCAAAACGACAACATAAGAACTACTAATGAACTCCGGCATGGCAAAGAGTTCCCAAAAGGCAACTGAGTACAGCCAACTCTGATGCATATGATTATCGGGCTAGAGCGATACTGAGTGCGGTGGTACGACTTCTACTCGCAACAAAGCACCATACCGGAACTAACGATAGCATGATAAGACTGAAAGCGTGCATACAGCAAGCAATGCAAAACAAAGGAAACACATCCATGCATCGTGTGCAGCAGACCCCGATGATTGATGAAAGGGCAAACTGTCATACTGGGTGAAACACTACCCATGTAGGCTTACAGCATGATCAATGAATAGTGAAGCAATAGACAGATAGATAGGTTCAGTTATATACATTACAGCCTCCCCCGGGGAAAATTTTCGAAAAATGAAGCAAATCCTGCATTTTGAGCGAAAAAAGGGGGGTTCCGAGCACCCAGGAACCCATACGGGGCACGCGCCTGAAGAGGATGACAAAAAGTGTTTTACTCCGAGTTTCACGCACTAAGCAATCATCAGAAAACCTTGAGCACTCTATTGGATAGCCTGGAACCTCTCTGTTTTGTATTGTAAAGCTGGCACTACCAATGCTAGCTGGTTTTTTGATAGCACACATTCTCCAACAATATCCAAGTGCTCACTACGGGTGAATGGAAAAGTGCAACTGGGCCTGGCTTACCACATCAAAACAGTTCCAGATCCAGACAAGATATTGATCGCAGGTTTGACTTTTGATCTCGAAAGTAGAAATTTTGGTCAGCAATGTACTCCGTATCCAAGTGGGTATTGATTGAATTCGTGAATGAGTTTGCTACATCTAAACGGCTTCATCAAAAGTGCATACCGTGTTTCCCCGAATATAAGTCGCACCTTTTTACACTATACTTCAGGGCCAACAAAGGGGGTGCGACTTACAATCGAGCGTGACTTCCTACTGATGTAAATATAATTATTAAAACAACTTTGGCTCAGACCTGAAAACGGGGGGGGGGGGGGGTG